AACTACTCCAACTATGCCAGCTACAACATCATCATCATTATCAAACTCAACATTATCTTCTCCCAATGATCCATCCACACCCAGCATCACCATTTCTGCTGATCCTACACAATCTACATCTCCTCCTGAAGGTTCACTGCCCTCCACCAAAATACCTGCAGTGGGTTCATCAATCCCACGTCAACGGAGCTTTTTGGCTGCAGCCCAAAAGGTGATGATGCAGGAGAAAATAAGAAAGGCTGAGGAAGAGACCAAGGCTGAAGAATGTGGTAAGTGAAGCTTTGCATAACAAAGAAAGCTGAAGGACAATCTGCTAAAAAAAAAAAAGTTTTTGTATGATCCAATTTCAGATTTCTTTGTTGTATTTAACTCTTTGAAATTATTTCAGATATTTACCTTGTCAAAAATCAAACAGGCTTATTATGTTTGATATTTTTTGATAGTACCATATTAATTGTAGTTTCTTGATATGCATTCATTATGAATGACACTAAAGCAATGCATCCAAATGAGGGTAATCAGTGAGACATGGCGGGGCTACTGACACATGCTAGTGTGTGCTAACTTTATTTTCACCAAGAACATAAATCCTATTTTTATCACAAACCAATGCGCTTTATTAGGATGTCAGTGTTCAAGAAATAGATCCACCTCTCACTTGAAAATCTAAGGGGTACATTTATTTACTCATGGCCTGGTTTTGCTTTTGTGGCTTGGTTTCAGCCTATAGTGTCAGAAGGTAATGGAGACGTTAACTTTGAAGATCCCTTCAGCTGCAACCTATTTACTATATTGAGGCCATGATTAAATCAATAACACAGAATCAAGTAAACAACCCAGTTGCCAGGAATCTATAGATAAACTATGTTCAGTAAAATCATACTCAAGCTCCTGTTTCCATTCAAAACATTTAAAAAAAAATTAAAAATAGTAATTCTTGGATTGTTCTGGAACTTTATTCAGCATTAATTACGATCTAACTAGCAGGATTTACACATTTTTTTGCAAAGATGAGCATAGTTGAATTATTTAGAGGATTTGTGGATTCATTAAGACTTCAAGTTCAATATTGTGTCACCACAGTGTTCACATAATCATAAGTGAGTGACTGTTATCTCTCGTAGATGATATGGATGAAGATCTGCCTTTTGAGGAGCTCCTGGAGAAAGCTGAGGCTGGAGACCCTAGAGCACAGAGTAGAGTGAGTACATGAACACACATGTGTTTGAAATAATATTCAAATTACGAATATTGTCATATTATGAAATAATATGACAATGTGAAACTGGTCATAAAATTTATTCTGAAAAAATATGCGGTGTAACTGATAAACTGATAACAAGCAAAGAAATTATATCTCATGACTTAATGATGGACTAATTCCTATTCTGCAATTGGGGTCCTTTCCTTAATGACCTTTGATTGA